CGTCGTGCGTCGGGCGTCGTCCGACGTCCGTCGTCTGTCGTCCGTCGCGAATCGTAGTCGCCGTCGTCCGTCGCCAACGTCGTCGTCGTGGTCGTCGTCGTCGTCGGCTGCGGCGGCGTCGTCATCTGCGTCGACGTCGGAGTCGTCGTCTGCGTCGACGTCGGCGTCGGCGGCGGCGGCGTCGGCCGTCCGCCGTCGGCCGTCGTCCGTCGTCCTCCGTCGTCGTCCGTCGTCGTCTGTCGTCTGTCGTCGTCCATCGCCGTCGTCGTCGTCGTGGTCGTCGTCGTCGTCGGCTGCGGCGGCGTCGTCATCTGCGTCGACGTCGGAGTCGTCGTCTGCGTCGACGTCGGCGTCGGCGGCGGCGGCGTCGGCCGTCCGCCGTCGGCCGTCGTCCGTCGTCCTCCGTCGTCGTCCGTCGTCGTCGTCCATCGCCGTCGTCGTCGTTGGTCGTCGTCGTCCGTTGTCCGCCGTCGCCGTCGCCGTCGCCGCCGTCGTCGTCGTCGTCGTCGCTGTCGTCGTCGTCGTCGTCGTTCGTCGTCTGTCATCGTCGTCGTCGTAGTGGTCGTCGGCGTAGCCGTCGTCGGCGTCGACATCGGCATGTCGATGTCGTCGTCGTCGTCGTCGTCGTCGTCGTCGTCCGTCGTTTGTCGTCCCTCGTTTGTTGTCCGTCGGCATTCTGCAATCTGTCGGCGTCGTCGTCGTCAATCATTGTCGTCGTCACGCGACGTCGTCGTCGTAGAAGCCACCGTCGTCCGTCGTCCGTCGTCCGTCCATCCGTCGGCCGTCGGCCGTCGTCGTCGTCGTCCGTCGTCCGTCGTCCGTCGTCCGCCGTCCGCCGTCGCCGTCGTCGTCGTCGACGCCGTCGTCGTCGTCGTCGTCGTCGTCGTCGTCGTCGTCGTCGTCGTCGTCGTCGTCATCAGGTCGTCGTCGTCCTCGTCGCCGTCGTTGTCGTGATCTTTTTTGGCGTCGGCGTCAGGGTCGTCGTCGGCGGCGGCGCCCGCATCGGCGTCGGCGTCGCCGTCGGCGTCAGCGTCGCCGTCGTCGTCGGCGTCGCTTTCGGTATCGGCGTCGGCGTCGGCTTCGGCGTCGCCGCCGTCGTCGTCGTCTTCGGCCGTCGGCCGTCGGACGTCGGCCGTTGGCCGTCGTCTGGCGTCCGTCGAGCGTCGTCCGTCGCCCGTCGTCCGTCGTCCGCCGTCGTCGCCCGCCGTCGTCCGTCGTCCGTCGTCGCCGTCGTCGTCGTCGGCGTCCGTGATCGGGGTTGGCCGCCCGTGATTCACGCAGCCTTGGGCTGGCTCAGCTGGCGGCGGGGCTTCTCAGAGGCCCTTTGGCCTTCTGAGCAGCCGCCTCTGGCTGCTCAGAAGCCACGAACGAGCTGACGAACCACCACATCGGACAGCGGTCGAAGCCTGCCAAGACCAGGCGGGTGAGGCCGTGGCCTCCTGTAGGATCTGCGCGACGTGCAGAAAGTTATGGATCTGCGCAAAAACTTGAAAGTCTTCTCAAGAGCGCGCGAGGGCTTCTGCGGAGCCCCGCCGCCTTGTGAGCAGGCCTGTCCCCTCTCACTTCCCCCCCGTGCTCGCCGCCCCAGAGGCTGGGGACTGGGACCAAATCGGACCGAGAAGAACCAGACATTTCGAAACCTGCAATTCTGCAACATATACTGGGCGCCGCGGCCGTTTCAGAGCGTTCTGGAACGCTTTGAGAGTGCTCCTGCACGCTCGGGGACGATTTTATCCTGGCCCAGGTCAGCCCTTCGATTCATCAAAAGCCGACGAGGCCCTTTTTTTCTGGAATGCCCTGTACCAAGGCTGGCCCAGGCACGAGGGCGAATTATAGTTGGAGCCCTTCCACAAGAAACCTTCCACAAGAAACCCAACCCTGAGACCCCAGGACGTCCATTGATTTTTGGTGTGGGAGCGTAACGCTTTGCGCAGCAAAACCATCGAAACCCAAGAAGCCCAGGGCACCCTGGAGGCAAGCAGGGTGTTTCTTGGCATGGGTCTCCACTGTATGGCAGCTCTCGTTAGAGGACGTCAACCAGACACACGCACCGACGCTGGGCAAGTCCAAGCTGGGCCGAGGATATTGGTGCACAGACGATCCTGACTTGGCCAGCAAGGCATGTGCACTGATCTTGAGCCCAGGATGCGCCGCACAAGTATTGGTGCAAGTGCGCATGGCTAACGCCACCAGAATTCGAGTCGCAACCTGGACCCTCGCTTGCGGTGATTACGGCGGCCCCGCATGGCGTCCAACGAAGCGCGGCCGCCAGAACGCGCCCCACGACCCGGAAAAACCGAAGGAGAACCGATGTCATGCCTTTTTTTCATACGGGGTCTCCAGAGATCCCGACCTCTCCAAGGCCGGCGCTCCATCCCGAGGCGTTTCTGACAGCCCTGGGGCCACAAGAGCCGTCCCCGGAGGCCGAAGGCTGTGAGATCCCCCCACGTGTTGGCTTTGGCCAAGACGCTGGATGCCCCAACAAACTTCAACGACATTCGAGGAGGTGGCGCAAACCAGCCTGAGGGGCAACGATACTGGACTGGCATGGGGGGGGGGGGAAACATCGACCTGGAATCAGCGATACATCGCCGATAGACGGGCGACAAGCCCCCGATAATGAATCCGCTTCGACGGCGGCCTGGCAACTGTCTCGCCGGAGACGTTCTCGCGGCACATCCAGGCATCGTGCTCCAGCTCTCTTGGGCTGTTCTTGGAGCCTCGTCGGGGTCTTCTTGGGGCCTCTCAGGGATCGGGGGTGTGCTGGGGGCCTCTGAGGGGTCCCGGAGGCCTCTCGGAGGTCTCTGGAAGCCTCCTGCTCCCGCTCTCGGGCCCATTTTGGGAGGCCCCGATGCCAGCCGCACTCGTGGTCTGGGCGACAGCGATCCCTTGCAGACGAGCGCATGCGCTGAGGTGCACGTGGCCGTGCTCCCACCCCTGTCCCCTATGGTTGTGGATGCCACGACAATGGACACCCTAAGAGTCCGATCCTTGAATTTAAAATGTGTTCAAAATGTCGGAAACATGTTCTCAACATGTGTTAAGCATGTTTGTTTTATGTTTAAAACATGTTTAACACATGTTTTAGACATCTGGAAATTCTTTGGCAACATGCTTCCTCTCCATTGAGCGTCCTCCACAATCCTATGGACGACCTCCTACTCCTCGACTCGCATCTTCACCCTTGCTGCTACAGTGGTAGCTCGACTACAAGAAACATTCCACAAGAAACCCAACCCTGAGACCCCAGGACGTCCATTGATTTTGGGTGTGGGGACGTCACGCTTTGCATCGCAGAACCATCGAAACCCAAGAAACCCAGGGCACCCTGGAGGCAAGCAGGGTGTTTCTTGGCATGGGCCACCACTGTATACTAAGGTTCTGCGCTGGGGTACTGCGGGGTCTTGTTCTGTTCAACACGGGGTTCCTGGAAGTCTCCTCGTGCCAAGCCTTTCTGGTTGTCGGTCCCCGAGACCTGGCGAGGTCTCCCCGAGGCCTAAAACAGCGATAGACTTCTGCGTTGAGTATTCGATGCGTTGGAGATCTGGGGACGACAGGCACCGACGACGGAGGACACGCGACGGGGACCACGAAGACGACGACGACGACGACGACGACAGACGACGAACGAGGCACGACGAACGACGGAGCACGACGGACGACTGCGACCTGCGACAGAGTACGGCGACGACGGACGACAACGACGACGGCGACGATGAACGACGACGACGGAGGACGACGAGGTCGACATACGACGGCCGACGAACGACGGACGAGGAAGATGGACGATGACGACGGAGGACGGAGTACGACGACGACGACGGACGAAGACGAGGACGACGGACGACAAGGACGACAGACGACGACGGACGAGGAATGGCGACGACGAGAAACGACGACGACGACGGACGACGACGAGGGCGACGGACGACCTGGCTGCGCAGGGAACGCGCCGAACCTGCCCTCCAGCGTGTCCGCCAGCTTCAGGAGCCGGTCGCGAAGCCACTGGCCTCGCTCAGGGGGGGGTCCTCCCCATCCTCCTCCATCCTCCTCCATCCATCCTCCATCCATCCTCCCTCCGTCCCGCCCTCCCTCCTCCCTCCTCGCCACCGTTTCCGGATCCCCGGGGGCCTCGGAACCGTCCAGGAACGGTTCAGGATGGCCGATTGAAGAAACCCCTTGGGCCTAGGACCCGCTTCCCTCAGGACCCGTTCCTTCATGGCAGTCATCTCGCAGCCTTTTGGGGCCACCTGGTCGCCCTCCTAGGGCCCCTATAGTGCCGCTTGGGCGGCCCGTGCCGCCGTGTGGGGAGTCCTTGCAGCGTCCTCCTGGCGCCCTGTTTGGGCCTAAAGTTAGGTCGGGACGAACCAAAAATCAGCCGACCCTGTCGGCGTGTGGAAGAGGCTTTGTTGTTTGCCACATCTTCCTCGTCGTTCCTTTTTCCCGTTTCTCTGCAGCGTCGTCGCTTCTGTCCCTTCCCTACAGCCTTCTCCTCCACTGCGCCCGTCGATTTCTCTCCTGTCCTAAAACCTTTTCCTGAAGCGTGTCGGTACAAACCGAAACGGAACAACGTCGCCTCTGGGTCAAAGGGAAGCCCCTTCCCTTTCTTCCCTTCCCCGTCAGGGGGGGGGGGTCCCGGGGGGGGTCCTGGGTCAGATACGCCGCCCTCCCGGCGTCGCTTCTGTCCCTTCCCTACAGCCTTATCCTCCACTGCGCCCTGCGCCTTCTCCTCCACTGCTCCCTGCGCCTTCTCCTTCTCCATCCTCATCCCCCTCCTCCCTCGTCCCCCTTCCTCATCTTCCTCCCCCTTCCTCCTCCTCCTCCTCCTCCTCCTCCTCCTCCTGCTCCTCCTCCTCCTCCTCCTCATCCGCCTCCTCCTCCTCCTCCTCCTCCTCCTCCTCCTCCCCGTAGCCATTTGGGCTCGAAAGGGCGGGGTCAGCTTCCCCGGTTCTTTCACTCTGTACGGCACTCCGAGACGCCCGCGCCCTCGGGACTCCGCCATGGGTCGCTCCAGCGCTCGTGGCGTCGCGGTGCGGCATGGCCACAGCGTGGCGCACTGCAGAACAGTGGAAGAGGCCGCGCGGCTGATCCAGCTGCTGGCCTCCGACAGCCCCGATGCCAGCGTCCTCGACGGGTTCGAGCAGGGCCTCAGGGGCGCTGGAGAGAAGCTGGGCCTAGGGCGCAAGGCCACTTCCGAGGAGGTGCGCCGAGCCCTGGCCAAGGCTCAGCAGAGCTGGCGCGGCGGTGGGTGGCAATGCGAGGCGGCAGGCGCTGGGCAGCCCATCCCGACAGGGACTTGTTACAGGAGGTAATGGAGGCCCTGGACGCCCACCCTGGCACCATCGGGTCGGGGCAGGACGAGGCGAGTTAAGGCAAGCTTGCAGAGAAAGCAAACACGACGGCGCTCCTAGCCGAGAAGGTCCTCGAGCTACAGGCGGCGGACCAGCGCTACCAGAAGCTCCTGGCGGACACGTCTGAGGAGCAGCGCACGCTGGAGCTGAAGGTCCAGATGACGGAGGACGAGGCAGCGCAGCTCTCCCACAGGTCGCACGAGCAGAGCCAGAAGATCTCGCAGCTCGAGCAGGCCCTGGCGGAGCTGCAGGAGCGCCGTGGTGCGGCGGCGGGAACCCTCTCCCCAGCGCGCAGGGCTGAGGGGCGCGCCCCGTTCGCGGAGGTCCCCGCCTTCCCGCGCCTGGCTTCGGGCAGCGGCGTGCAGACGGAGGAGCTCGAGGTCGGCGTCGGGGAGGCCAGCAGAACACCGCAGAGCACGGGCAGAGCAACGGCGACGCTCAGGGGGCGTACGGGGACCAGAAGAGCACCAAGCAGAACCAGGGCAGGCACCTGAACATAGTGAAGACGGAGGAGCGCAACGGCACCGCGATGGAGGGCGTCGGCAGCGAGTTCGACGACCAGGGCGGGACGCTGGGCGCCAACGCGGAAGAGGTGAGCACGAAGGGTGGCAAGGACGGCTCCGCGGGCAAGCACATGCAAGGGGCCGTCGGCGACCAGCAGAGCACCGTGGGGAACCAGGGCAGTCACCTGCGCACCTACGCGACAAAGCAGAGCACCAGCGACGTGCAGGAGTACCAGGCGCGGTGGTGGGCCGCACAAACAACCCCCAGCCGGCGCACGCAGAGGCGTGCGAAGAAGCAGCAGAACCCCGACCTGATGCAGGAGCAGCAGCAAGTAGCGGACGCAGGGACGTCCAGATTCACACGTGTGGCAGTTCTCATCCTCGTGCTGGCCCGCGGCCTAGTCGCCCTCGCTGTGATTGAGAATCGAGGATGGCACGTGTTTTCCGCTCCAGGGAGGTCGGCCCCTGACTGCCACTTCCACGACGGATTGGTGTGCTTGGCCGAGATCTCCGTCGACGAGGACGGCAGCGCGCATGGCTTGGGCCCAGAAGGCGAAGAGTATGAGTTCGACGATAGCTACGTCGTCGGCGACGAGATGGTGTGGCTCCTGCAGTGCACCAAGGGATCGCCGCCTTGCTACACGTACTCCGAGCTCTGCCTGGCAGCCAGCGAGGAGGAGCACGAGCCCTGGCAGCAGCCCTAAGACTGCCAGCGGAGGCTGATCCTCGCCTGCCGACAGAGAGAGGGCGCGTACTGAGGCCGCAGGCCCACCCAGCCACGGGCGCGCGTTCAGCGTGCGCGGCCTGGGTGCCGAGACCTGGGGCACTCTTGCGCACGCCTGAGCACGCGGGTTTAAAACTCCTCCTCCTCCTCCTCCTCCTCTTCCTCTTCTTCTTCTTCTTCCTCCTCCTCCTCCTCCTCCTCCTCATCCTCCTCCTCTTCTTCCTCCTCTTCCTCCTCGTCCTCCTCCTCCTCCTCGTCCTCGTCCTCGTCCTCGTCCTCCTCCTCCTCCTCCTCCTCCTCCTCCTCCTCCTCCTCCCCCTCCTCCTCCTCCCCCTCCTCCTCCTCCTCCTCCTCCTCCTCCTCCTCCTCCTCCTACGACTGTGAAGCCTCAGGGCCGCCCCAAGACTAATATGAACAATGCAAGGCGAACCTTGTTGGCCCGGCTCGCCGGGCTCCTTAATAATCCCCCCCACACGTCCACTAAGTGGTCCTGTCGGCTCCTCACTAGCAGATTCCCAGTCTATGAAGGGTGCTGCGTTAAATTGGGGTGCCAAGGGGATCACGCTCCCAGCCCCTTAGTCAGAGGGGTCTGGGCCCTTCTGCTCCCTACAAGTGTGAACCCTACATGATGCATACGGTCTCCGTTGCTTCTCTACCCCCCTGGCGTGGCTGGGGACTGGCATTCGCCCCAGCCCACGCTCTGATTCTAGCCCTTCCCTAACCCCCTCAGGGGGTTAGATGGAATGCGCGGGGAATGAGACAGTGCCACAGCCTAAACACAGACTCCTACTTTTATCTACCCTCTTGGCGGCCCTGGGGCCTGGGCTGGCGCTTTAGGGGGCTTCACAGTCGTGGGGCAGGCCATCGCCCACCAGAGAGGCGGCCACGGCGCATTCCGGGTTATTGGTGCCCCACAGTCGTGGGGCCCTTCTTGTAGCAGTAGGTGTCGAATTTTAGTATTGGAAGGTTCGCCCCCGCGGCCGCTCCCATAATAGGTGGTTAGCTTTCAAGGGGATAACCGTGCTTCACAGTCGTGGGGCAGCCTGTCGAAGGAAGGACTGGCGGAAGTATGCGGGGTATAAGCCCGAGAACTTCTGTGAGGCAATCCTGCTTGCATGCAGTCCATAGATAGGACCTCCTCTAAGCAATAGGGGTGGTGCGGGGCACAGGGGGAAATTGGTCTTCACAGCGGTGGGGCATCTCCTGGAGCAGTTTGGCACCCACCCAACACAGGCCCCCTGTTAGGACCCTCCAAGAGTTGGGCCTGACCGAATGGGGCGAGGGAAGGGTGCACCGCTACAACTTGGCTCGAGCTCACCCGACGGCAATCGCTCGAGCAGCCAACGCCAGCTTACTAGCACCACCAGTGCCCCCACCATGGCGGCATACGACACTGGCAGTGCAGCTTCCTACGGGGTGTATGGCTTCCCCCCTTGCCCGTCAAAGGCACCGCACCTGTGGGGTGAGGCAGGGGCGCTGCACCCCGTCCCGGCAGGCAAAGGAGGGCCGAAGTGGGCTCAGCCGACCCCGAGGCCCCTCCCACTGCCGACACCCGATTGGCCGACACACGCCCAAGGGTCGGAGGCGTGGGATGTCTGGAGCCCAGCAGGGGCGATCAGAGCGGATGACACACAGGCGCTGCCATGGAGGCGCCAGCAGGAGCCAAAGAACTACGCCAAGTCCCTCGAGGATCCCAACCGCTACGACAAGGGTCAAGGCGGGCCCTACGGAAAGGCATTCGGCAAGGGCAAATGGAAAGGCAAAGGCAAAGGGAAGGACTACGGCAAGGGCAAGGATGGAGCCAAGCACGGCTGAGGCATAAGACCGCCACCGCCCAAGGCACCTTCGGCCATGGCCTTGGCCCAGGCAGAAGTGGACTTCTGGAAGAGCAAGGTGCCCAGCGACCACCACAGGCTGCTCCAAGCACAGCAGGACCTAGAGGAGCTGCGGCAGAAGTCCTTCCTGTCCCTGCCAGCAGAAATCCAGGCTAAGCGCCTGCAGGCTACCATCGACGAGGGGTGGGACAAGGTGAGCCGCATGAAAAAGGAGCTCGCGCAGCTCGAAGAAGAGATAGACAACAAGTGCGACACCTACCAGCAGCTGGTGAGCACCATTAACGATAAACTTGATAAGCTCAAGGGTAAAGTTCAGCAGCTCAAGCTTCTCGAGGCCTCCCTCAAACCGACCAAGCAGAAACCGGTGCCATCACCTGAGCAGATCATTACCTACATGAAGGAGCACCCCGAAGAGGCAAGCAGCCTATCAGAATCCGACTTGCTCGAAGTCCAGGAGGCGAACAAGGCAAAAGATACGAAGGCCAGCGCTGAGGAGTTGGCCCACGTCCCAGACTTACCGGGGGCGCCTTTCAAGAAGAAGGTGCTAGCAATCAACGACGCTGGCAAGGCCCTTGGACAGAAAATCGAGGACACGGAGGGGCTGGACGCATAGATTGCTGAGGAGTCGAAGTGGATGGAGGAGGAGGCTGCAGTGGAGAGGGCGAGACTCGAGGCAGCCCAGCCTGGGCTGACAGGCGCGCCACCCGCAGGCGGAACGCCGCATGGCGAGGCAGACCCGCCAGCCGGTGCGGGGAGTCCGGTCGAGGGCGCCGCGGGAAAAGGAGTCCCGGCCGCCCCCGAGAACAAGGCCAGCAGCCCGGCAGCCCCCGCAGCCAGCGCAGCGGGAGCGGGGAAGGCCCCGTCGCCGGGGTAGCAGGGCTGGGAACGGAAAGCCGGCGGTAGTGAGCCCGGCGCGCATGGTGACATCCCTACTCGTCCCGTCGGCTGCGAAGCCGGTTTGGTTGCTACTTTCAACGGGAACTCGTGGACCACCATGCGTGACAGGCTTGATGACGACGGATCCTTGGATTCGCATTCAGTTTTGTTTCTCCAAGAGACGCTCTTGGACGACCCTCACGACATCCACCTGGCAGTGGACCACTGCCGGAGGAAAGGATGGCTACCCAGTTTTAACCCAGCCATCCGCACCCCGGACAACCGGCCAGTTGGCGGGGTGGCAGTTTTGGTCAGAGCGGGCAAAGATACGGGAGTTTCCCCGTGTCCGCAGTCCGTGACTCAGTGTGCAGAGCCAGAGCGCCTCGTGGCGGTAAGGCTTGAAAAACCAGGCTTTGCGCCAGTGCTGCTAGTCTCTGTATACCTACACCCGGTGGTGAAAATGAGTGATGCCAACAGGGCGCTGCTAGCACACCTAAGCATACTACAGCATGAAACCGGCCTGCCGGTTTTGGCAGGGGGTGATTTTAACATGGACCCGTCTCACATTTCAAAGACAGACTATGGGGAACGAGGGCGTTTCAACCTTGTTACCCCAGAGCGGCCAACGATGTACAGTAAGAAGACCCAGTCAAAGATTGACTTCTTCATAGTGTCCGTTGCGCTGCATGCTTTGATCAAGGATGTACAGTGCTTGGGAGATTTCCACTCCTCACCGCACAGGCCGGTCAATCTCACCAGACTCCTGGATAGAACAGTCTTAATCCCAGTGCTCCGGAAACCCGCGCGTTTCCCAGCCGAAGCAATGATCGGACCGCAGCTGCCGCATGCAAATTGGAAGCATCTCAGCGCTGCGGCAGCCGAGCTGTTGGAACAGCTGTCAGCGGGGCAGTGCTTCGAGACGCACCAACGGCTGCTAGATACCTATTATACGATTTTCACTAAGGCCTTTGCGGAGGAGGTTGCACGCATTACCCGCACGTCGATCAAGAGTGAGCGCCCGAGGGGGCTCGGGCCCACAGTGGAATGGCGCCCAGCGGACGAATTCAAAACCGATGGTAAAGGGCGGGAGTCCTTTGTCTCCAAAGCGGCCACTTTAAGGCGCATCGCAAACAAGGTGCGTCACCCCTCGCCCGTGTGCGTGACGTTTGTCATGACGACTTGTGGGAGGGTGGTGGGCAAGCTTCACAGTCTCAAGGGGAGGGGGGGGATGAATTGCCACGAGTGGCCATTCAGTCGCGGGGGGCACGTTGTTTCACAGTCTGAGGGGAATGGGGGAAGGGATGAATTGCCACTTAGTGGTAGGGGGACAAGTGACAAGTGACAGCGAAGGGCAAAGGTAAGAGTTTGGCGATAATAAGGCTTCACAGTCGTGGGGCGGCCCTCCTGTTGAGGGAGGATGAGAGTAGGGTAGTTAAGCGGGCTTCACAGTCGTGGAGCGGACCACCTCCAGAAGGAGGACGGTGGCGCATTGCATATAACGGGCTTCACAGTCGTGGGGCGTGTCTCGCCTGGGCATCAGCCGCAGCAGCAGCGAGGGAGGGGGCGGGGGAGGATGAACCCGCCCCCGCCCAAGCGGAGGCCAGTGACGGCGGCGATGACGACGACGGCGCCTGATCCCTCTTTCAGCGCGCGACAGCGGGGGGGTGCGCGCAACTGAGGCCGGCCACGGAACGGCCGGGCAGGGGAGAACATGACCCCTTCGGACACAACACGTCCCACCCTACCCACGATAAGAGCCAGGGCGGGCGGGGATTTTTCAAGAAACATGGGTCGCCGGCCGTTGCATCGAATGCCCAGCTCTTGAAGAGCTGACTTGAGCCCAATGCGACGGACCACACGAGGGGCGACCCTGAAAGGGGATTGTAGCAATTTCGGCCCGCGGGGGATTGTAGCAATTTTGGCCCGCGGGGGATTGTAGCAATTTCGGCCCGCGGGGGAATGTATCAATTACAGCCCGCAGGGGACACAAGCAACTTCGGCCCCAGGGGACCGGAGCACCCTTCGACCCAAAGCCAAACATCCCCCCGCGGAGCGACTTAAGATCGGAAGCCGCTGCGGCCCAGGAAAGTCGAAAATTTCCTTATGCACGGCCTGCGCGAGAACGGGGCCCGCACGAGCGGGCCCGCACGGGCCCGCGCGGGCCCGCATCCTCCCCTTCCTCCTCCTCCTCCTCCTTCTCCTCCTCCTCCGCCACGTCTTCATGTACCTCCGACGTCTTAGCACGCATCCCGTCACCCTCGAAGGCCAA